AAACTTTATGTTGCATATTTTTAGGCGTTGTGAAATTTCTTTGCAATAATAAATTTTTATATCAAAATAATTTACATATCAAAAAAGAAATATATAAAGAAAATTTGATAATTTAAACAATAAATTATTAAAAACTTTGAATAATATAAAATTTATTTGTCTAGTTTTAATATTCAGCGCAGCTTTTTAGACACCTTTACTTATTTCCAGAATTATTTATAACGAATTTATTTGTGGCTTAGTCGAGCACAATTAATTCCTCTTCATGTATGTATATGTTTTCTGCATTGATAAAACCACTTATTCCGAATATGTTGAAATGACATAAACAAAACATTTTTGTTTCTAAAATATTTTTATTAATATAAATACAAGACACAAAAACCACAATGGAACTTAAGACGTTGACATTTGAGCTCATTTTGTGCCTAATGCAGAAGTGTCTTTTATTCTAACAAATAATTCAACTATAACATAAGGATATGTACACATAACCAGGCATGTCTTTGCTTGTGTAATCCCAACTAACAAAGATACTAACAGCAACAATAACAACAACAAGTACACTAAAAATAGTACTACCATTATTACTTCAACAAATAAGCTATTTAGTAAGCTCCATACGACATGCTTATGCCTTGCCAAGTATTTCAACTACAGAATATAAAAAAAAGATGGAACTAAAAACTAAATAAATAAAAATAATATATTGTGATAGTCATAGTCTTTTACGGATGCTACAAATGCAATAGTAACGGCTTGAGAACTATATAAATACAAACACGTACCAACATATAGACATAAAGACATATTTTAATATGGCCGCAAACATACATAAGCCATTTAATGGTAAGTATATGCGACAACGTCGTTTGTTGCCCGGCTAAGAGCAACTAAGACATGACAACAGAAACGAGAAAACATAACCTAAATGTTTAACCAAGTTATTTAACTTAAACTTCAAGTTAAATTAAGCAAACAATCGCAACAACAACACCACAATTCTAAGAACAAGAACAACAAGTCTAATACTCATTGCAACAACAAACAGGAGGAGCCACACTAGAACCATTTGTTAAAGGACCTCAGGTAAATATTTAAAGAAGCAAATGAAGAAGCATACACACGCTTGCAAAATATTTTACTCGTATAATACTATTGTACTATAGTGGATGCGAACAATATGGCGTGCGGGGTTATAAAAAGAAATGGGACAGAGCATCGTACCAACCTGAGGCGTTTCTACTGCCAGAAATGCGTCTGTGAGTAAGTTCAGCTATAGTGCGTATTTGTTTGACTTGGCGTGACTGTATTGGTAATTTTGCAGAAGGATTGTGGTATTCATTTTAACATAGTTGCATGGAAGAGCAACGCATTTATTTTGTTTAAGACACAATTAGGTTAGTGTTTTTGTACAGATAATTAGTAGAGACAAAACTTTCAAAAATTTAATTTATTGACCTTTAAGACAAATGATTATAAGTAATAGTGGGAAGTTGCATTTTTAAGTTAATAAATTCTAAGATAACACATAGGGAGCAGTTGTACAGTATTAAGTTTTATTCCGAGCTTTTATATCCAATCTACACAATATGCATTATACTTTATTATTCCATGCGTTTCCAAGACCATAAATTTTTTTCTCATTGCTTCAACGCAATAAAATTTTAGTAAAGATAATTTGGTATCTCTATATGACTCTGAAAAGCTCGAATAATAAGCAGAATACAACAAAAGCCTTATACACCCTTCAATTTTAAATTTCTTTCACCTAATGAAATCGTTCTAACTTCGGACTAAGTGAGCAATTGAAAAATAAAACCTTATCTCGACAAACGAAAATCATGCTCAACAAATCTCTAATCTCTAAACAATAACCAAGAGTGGTGAGAATGCGTTAGGAGCAAGCGAGAGAAAAATTCATTGGAAGATCTATGGTTCCTTACGCGTTAGCAACGAGTACCGAATTAGATGGGACGATTAGCTATACGAACATTGACATAGTTAGGTGTACAAAAGTTGGCAGCCTTGCTGGCTTCATCATATCATGCATAAGCTAGAAATGTGATTGATTTGGTACCTGCTGGTGAAACATGGGATAAAGGATGCCTAAATCTTTTTAATAAAATAATCACCTCTTTTTTCAAAAATGTTGAAGATCAGTTTATTATTCTTAAACTTTGCTGGCAATAAATGTTGTTCATAAGACAAACAGTTAAGCCACATGATATCTTCAAAACCACTTTGATAAATTAATGTGCTTGCCTTACTCTATACTCTATACTTTTCGACTTCATCTTACCGAAATTACTGGTTCCTATAATAAGATAATGTTTACTTGCTTTTTAAAAATTGAAGTATTTCTCTTTTATTCGAAGCCTTCGATTTTGGTATTAATAGTACTCTTTCAATAACGTGTGGTTTTGAGAAACTTAGAATGGAATAGTTGTGCCTTGTGATAAAACCGTTCAATACTCTCAGGGTTTATCCAATCAATGATAACGGGTTATTTCAAAACAAGTTAGATCAGGTTTTTTCTAAGTAGACTTTGGTAAGCATCACAGAGTATCTTACGAGTTTAAGTGATCACGCTATCGTTCAAAACGTTCTAAATCCTTTTTAGTGACACTATATAATAAATTTATATAGTTATCTTTTGACATTTTATTGTAATTCAACAAAACAACAATATTTTGGTGATGGTTCTATGCTCGTTTTATATTAATTGCTGAGGCATGAATACTATAATTTGAGTTGTTATGTCATTTTAAATTAACTTATCAATTTAAGAATATACGTATGTTTTATGCATATCAATATACAGGAAAGCTATAATATCTTATAATCAATAAAAATGATTAAACTTTGTTGCGGATGAATTGTAACATTTAAATGAATATTCTTATTTAAAATGAATATTCTTTAAAATTTCAAAATATATTGAAAAAAATTGTTAGCAAATTCAAAGAAACGAAATTAAAAACGGAAAATATCAATCAACAATCCCAAGCGTATCACGTTTGAAAGCTGCAAATTGATAAGAGTGACTTTCGTTGACAGCAAATTGCAGTGGAAAACGTGTGAGCTATTTTAGAAACATTGCCACTTTTGGAGAAGATATCACATCGATGCAAATTGAAAACAAACAGAACTCCAACTCAGTGAATATGCGACTATGAGGAGCAAATGTATGAGAAGGATAACATCAATGTATGAAACAATGTTTGTATAGAAAATGCATTCGACAATATTCTGAACGCTCCGAACTGAATGCTGGATGTGTTTGCTGGATTGCTGCTATCAGCTAAGGTAAGCAAGATAAATTCACGTGTTAGCAAGGACAATTTCGATTGGCAACAGGAGAGCAATATTAACCAATTTCAGAAACGATTCAATTCAATTCAATTTACGTAAAACAAAATTAAAATAGAAAAACAAATTGTCATACCGAAGCACATATGAACATTTTCAAAAATGTATCTACGTTAAACATTTAAGGGCCTGTGCTGGGATGGAGTGAGTAGAATTTATTGAAGAATTTATATAACTCGACAAATATACAACATTTTTTGTTAAATTCTATAAAATAAATAAAAAAAATTACGCTTTTACCTTTGTTCGCTGAACTCAACAAACGAATTTCCGTTGGAGAGCTGAACCGGTAATGTTACGGAGAGCAATTGGTTTCTTTTTTTTTTATTCCATCCATGTTTTTTAATTTCCCTTAATTATTAGCATGAATGGGAATAGTAGAAAGAAGCGGAAATTAAATCATTGATAGCTTCAATATAAGAGCTAAGAGCATTTCAGAAAGGATCATTTTTAATGCGAAACTGAAAACATTTCACCATTAATATTTCTTTAAGCGTAAAAGTTGTACATAAATATAATTACATTTTAAAAATATAAGAGTTAAACTATAATTGCTGTTGTTGAAGACGTGCTTACATTCAGAAAATAAATATTTTAATTTTCAACCATAAAAATAATAAAAATCTGTACAAAATCAAAGTTTACTAAAATGAATTGCAATTACTGACCCAAGCGTTCCCCTCGACTTAAGTACAAAATAATAGTTTTGTGTGTAGTGTTTTTTGTGGCACGTAATTCTTCTAAAGTTTACTTAAAACTTCATTTCCATTAAGCAACAAAGACACAGCAGAGCAATTACTAAAAATAACCAAAAAATAATAATAAAACAAATGCAAACAGTGTGCATTCAAGCCAGAGCAGTACATCAACTAAACCAAAGAGGGAAGTTGCATTTTACGGTCAAATAAAGTTTCAATAAAACTAAAAATTTGTTATAAAACAGCAAGTTTTTTTAAAACATTATTTTACAATTATCCTTGCAAAGCACGCAACTTTAGTTATAACAAAAAACAATCTGACCTTTGTCTCTCAAAGCATATTTTGTGACACTATGACACTGGTTATTAAAAGCGTATATAATCTTAAGTGTGTATAAAATAATAGCAGCAACATCAACTGCAACAACAACAATAACGAATATTTTGTAGCTACAAATGTGAAATTATCCTTAATATTCCTGAAAAATAAGAAAATGAGAAAATGCTTCACTCAAGATGATAATAATTCGCACGCAAGCTTCGCATTATCCTCACGTACCAAACTTGTTAAATTTGCTCCTT